AAGGGATTGTGGCGTGACCATCCCCCCTGGGGGGTGATTTCTCGCTTTCTGTCTCTATGTCTCTCTCTGTCTGCCTGGCGAGCGAACGCGCCCTATAGCGAAAACCTCTCCAAAAAAAAAAAGAAAAAAGAAATGGGAGAGACAGAAAGCACCCTCCCCATTATGGGATCTGTCACACAGCAGTCCTTTTTCCTCTGTTTCTCCACCCTATCAGGACGTGGGGCGTGCGTACACACACACACACACACACACACACACACACACACACACACGGCATGTTTTTCAAGCCACTGAGGCCAGGATTTGAACCATGGTCAGCCATGTCAGATCCAGCACAGCACTTAACCACTGCTCTATGAGAAAAGCCGGGGCTTCTTACTTGTAGAAGTTTCTGTTATGTGCATTCCTGAATAGACTTCTTATTCTGTTTTTCACTAAACGACTCACAAAAATAGCAAGATTTATGGGAAAAAATAGGGATAGAGAGTGATTGACAGATCCCTAAAAGGTTGTGCAACTTTGTAACTGGACAATTAACCAAAACAATGATTAGTACCTTGGAAAAAATAACATGGACAATGAAGTCCGGTAGCATGCCCAGGGGTAGGTGGCTGACTCAGGGAATGTTAAAAATGAACAGAAACAATAGAACAAAAATTCTATTGCTTGCTGCAGCTAAGACAATAAACCTGCAAGGATAGCCCAAAGCAGAGGGGAAAGGGCAATCGGCAAAGACTCAAGAGCTATGAGAAGCTGGGGCACACATCTTTGGGGAGGGAGTCTTAGGCACAGACATTCTTAACATTGTCTTAAAATAATGCTCCAAAGACCTCAGCCTGTGCAGTAGTTGAGTAGAGAGCCTTTTCCCTTTCTTTTGAAGATTATAGTTTCTACTCCCATTATCCTAGCTCCCCTGCCTAAGAAAAAGCACATATAAATAATCACAACTTTCATAAAGAGAGATTTTTGCTATAGGGTGTGTGCACTTGCTGGAGAACCAAAGAGAGACAAAAAGGAAGAAATCACATGCCAGGGGGATGGCCATACAACAATTCCTTCTCCTCCATTCTCCTGTCAGGATTTTGTGTCCAGTGTAAGGCTGAAGCCACTGGGTCCAGAACTTGAACCACTGTCAACCATGTAGGAGTCCAGCAACATAACCATCATGCCATCTGCTGATCTCCACAACTTTCATCTTATACTGATATAACTTCCCTAGTTACCAGTTGCATTTTAGCTAACTAGTATTGTCTAATAGACTCTCTCTTTCTCTGTTTGGTATTTGTTGGACATCATCCTGAGGTGTGATTAGCCAATACCTTGTTCTTGTGACCTGTAGAGAGAAACAAACCTCTGGGGCCAGCAGGTGGTGTGGTGGTTGGGGCGCTGGACTCCCAGATAGCCGACCACTGTCCTGGATCTGGCAGCCTGGTGAGCACATACGCCCTATAACAAATAAAAAAATATAATAATAATAAAAATAAAATAAAATAAATAATTCTTAAAAATAATAAAAAAAGAAACAGACCTCTGGAGTTTGCAAGCTTTAAATGACTGGGACTTGTGGTTTCAGGTTATATATTTTCTAAGTTCTGCTTTGTGCCAGGCTAAGCATTTTACATTAACTGTTTTACATAACTTTTGTAATAATCGCTTGAGCTAATTATTATTAGATAAGTAAATTAAAGGTCTTTGCTAGTATGGCAAGGCCAAACTTGACACAGAAATGCAGGGGTCTGATCCTAATGTCTGTGCTCTTTATTAATAATAGACTCTTCATCCTACTTTTTGTAAGTCATGTCATACTAAAAAAGAGTATACCGAATAACCTGTATAGGCAGTGACCTTGTCAGATGTAACAGATAAGAATACTGCCCTCCAAGAGATGGCGCCTCAATCTCAATATACTGAATCCTACAGATACATTAATTTTCCAGATATCTGAGTCTCTCTTTTAGGCAGATAATTGACATGGATGAAAGGAATCACTTCTGAGTTCAAACACACTAAAGACTTCTAAAATAGCCCCTTTTATTATACTCTTCAGTTAGAAAAAACAGCAAATTCCTCTGTAACGGACTACATTGTCAACCTCTAATCTCTTCCTTTTCCTTTAGGGTGACTCCGGAGGACCACTGGTTAGTCCAAATGCTAGAGATATCTGGTATCTTGCTGGAATAGTGAGCTGGGGAGATGAATGCGGGAAACCCAATAAGCCTGGTGTTTATACTAGAGTGACGGCCTTCCGGAACTGGATTGCTTCCAAAACTGGTGTCTAAGAGAGAAGAGCCTCGTAGAACGGAACACATTTTTGATGTATAGGCCATTTGTAGAGATACGGAATTACAGAAGAAGCCTTGCAAGTCACAGGATCTGGCCCGTCTCACTAAACCGCTCCATACGTGTATTTCCTTCCTAGCTCTGCTTCACTCGTGAACGTCCTGCTTCTGCAAGATGAACTCTGTCCTAAGCTGCATTTATTTGTTTTCTAGAAATTGTGGCTTGTTAACATAAATTCCTCATGTATATATAAAATTTGAAGCAATTCTACCCTTCCTTTCTCCAGCTTCTCTTATCCGTGAAATTTTCATTTTAAAGTATGGGACGTGGAGTGAAAGAAAAGATCATAAGGGAAAAAACTGCTCTTTTTATGTACAGAAAGACATTAGGAGTTTTTTTTTTTTCCCTAGTAGGATATGGAAAATGATCATATTTATTATGTAAATTCAAGCAAACAGAAACAGCAGAATGCTAAACACGATGGAGAAAAACGGGAACTGAGTTAAGGAAAAACAGGGAGAAACCAAGTTTTATCTTATTTCTGGCCAAGTGACTGCCAAGATAAATGTGAAGAAGATCACTTTGTTATGACCCAAAATAATCCCACAAACTATGTAATATACTTGTTTTTTGAACCAGTTACAGTAAACAATATTTATTTAACATTTATTAACACTGCTGAGGATATCAATACATAATAAAAAATAAACCATCCATTTGCTTGACATTATAACATGGTAATCTACAAAGAACAAGAAGATGGAGAAATGTTAGTGTTTAATTAATTGCAAATTGTTTTAAAATTGGAGCCTATAACTTAAAATTTGTTTTAAGAACAACCAGCAGGGACAAGCAGTTAACGTAATGGCTATGTCGCTGGACTCCCATGTAGTCAACCGTGGTTTGAGTCCCAGACCCGGTGGCTTAAAACTCACACCAGGCGTGTGTGTGTGTGTGTGTGTGTGTGTGTGTGTGTGTACGTCCCCAAGATCCTGAGAGGAGAATGGAGGAGAAGGGATTGCGGCGTGGCCATCCCCCCTGGGAGGTGATTTCTCGTTTTCTGTCTCTCTGTCTCTCTCTGTCTTTCTGGCGAGTACACGTGCCATATAGCAAGAACCTCTCCAAAAAAAAAGGAAGCAAAAACCTCTCCAAAAAAAAAGAAAAAAAAAAAAAAAAAGAACAACCAGCAGACCTCACGTAGGGAAATAAATGTATGGCTGAATGGAAAGAATGAAGAACGAACCAAAATATTGACTGAAATGGGATTAACTCTAAGTGCTTGTGCCTCTAACGTTTCCTCAGACTGCAAAAACTTGAAGGGAATAAGGTCCAGTGTGTAGCTACAGCCAAGCAGCTGAAGCTGGGGCTTACACCTTCATGTAGAGATGATTGCAGAAACTCTTCCCTTGCTATTGTATTTCTAGTCCATATGTGACTACTGGTCCTGTTAGGTCATCTGGGCTGAGATGGGAAGATGTCGGGGGGGGGGGGGGTTAACCTGCCTCCTTCATGCATCTAATTGGTGGCTAGAAAAATTGTGACATGTTTTACATGCAAAAATGCATCATGACTTTTCCAACAACTCAGCAGTAAGATACTGACTTGCTAACTGCCTGGCTACAAAGTAAAAGATAAAAGTCTAATATTAGCCACCTTAATAATTTAAGTTTTGGTCAATTATTGCTGAGCTGATAGAGAGTATTAAAGTACTCTGGCATTCAAGCAGACTTAGGACTGGTGCTATGACATTATGACATAATAATGGTGAGATTTTACTGAGTCAATTATCCTTTACTCATTACGTGTTCTGTATTATACAATAACCACTTTAAAAACCAATATTTGCAGAAAAAATTGACCTTCATTGATTTTAATAACTTTGGCATATGAGCTGCTAAAATCTAGGCACTTAGTTAAAACAAAATATGAAAATCGACATGAAATGATAGTATTAATCATGAAATGATAGTGTGATACATTTTGCATATGTATTTTTTTATCCCATTTAATATACTCTTTGGGGAAAAAACAAAATTGAGAAAAATGATGAATTTCAAATAAAAATATAAGTGCATTTTAAACTAAATGCATCTCAATCTTTCATTAAAAATGAATTTTTCTTGTTTCAGCATATTCCACAGCTGGACCTCTAGGTGGCACCCCTAAACTGTAGGAAGATACAGGGATAAAGGATGTTTGAGCACTACGGTGCTGTCTGAAACTTCAAGTAATAATGAAAAATTATAGTTGAAATTCTGTATCAGGATCTTGCAAAGCCAAAAGAATACAGCTCGTCTTTGCAGATGGATTTAAAAATAAGTTTTTGTTAATTGGCATTGTTATTAGCATCTTCCAGATTTCTGGAGGTCAGAGTCTAAACTAAAAGAGAATCTATGATGTATGATTTCAGGAATTCTCTTGGCAAACAAATTTGTAGATATTTAAATAAAAGATAAATTTTAGAAGTTTAATTTTTACAATGGCATCATATTCCTTTGAGAAACTTTAGAATATTTTCTTCTATAAAAGATTGAGAAATGGAAGTTAAAAACTCAGTAAAAATTAGTTTAATCTTTCTGTGCATAGAAAAACAGGTAATACGGTATTATATTCTTATCCTTTTTCTTTTTCCATCAAATTTTGCCAAAGGACATGTGTGCTTGCTGGAGAGGGACACTGAGAAAAAGAGAGAGGGAAAATGAGAAAGCATCCTTATGGGGAATAGTAATGTCACAATCCCTTCTCTTCTCTTCCTCCCTCCCCAGAGGATTTTGGGCACACATGCAAACACACAGGGAATGTTTCTTATGCTGGTTCACAACTTAAATTGAACTGTGGGCCATGTGAGATCCGGTCATCTTAACAACTCTGCCACAAGCTGGCCAAGTCTTATATTTTTAAAATGGTAACTTCTTTTGAAAAATAATCTATAGAAGGTTTTAGCATTCTTGGGCATGTCTGTGTTAACCATATCATTGGAGAAGGTTAAGAAGTCATAATTATACTGATTACTTTGACAAGACACAGTCAATTCCTCTTCTATATCTTCTTCTCATACCACTCAGTGACATCTTTTATGTGTAATAGTCTTTCCACAAATGTTGAGTGACCCTTTTATTTTTTGCATTATGAAGGAAATGCATCTTTATTATTATTTACATATTGATTTTTAAAAGTAATTCCAGATTTTACACTAACTGTGCAATTTAAGCTAGTTATTTAATTACTCTAAGTCTAATGTATTCATCTATAATATAACATAGAGATAGTATTTACTCAAATGATTGTGATAGGAATAAAACTGAAAAATTAGAAAAGCACTTAGTGTCATTCTTGGAACATAGAAGTGGTAGATATTATAATTGTTATTGTAATGAAACTACAGTCTTTTTAAAAACAATACAGTACTTGATCATAATAGGTTAAATACATTTTTTTGTAATGAAGAGAGAGACCAACAGAATTTGCTGGTTTCTTGTATTATATTAAGATCTATAGTCAAATTCAAATGTTGCTTCCTCCAGGAAGCCATTCTAAACTCCCTAAACTGGCTATAATATACCTTCGCTGAAATCCCCTACCATGAAAAGAAAAAAAAACTTTATAAAACATTTTCAAATAATCATCGATTTATATACAGTTATAAGATACAGAAACATCCTGTGTACCCTTTCCTCAGTTTCTCCCAGTGATAACATCTTATTTAACTGTAGCACAAGGTCACAACCAGGAAGTTGGCATTGAGACAATCTGTCAACTTTATTCAGATTTCATTAGTTTTGAAGACACGTGATTGTGTCTGTATATATTGAGTTCTATGTAATTTTTATCATAGATTTGTGTGACCACAACAATCAAGGTACAGATACTTTGATCGTAAGGATCTTTCATGATACCCAGGTGGCTCCCTCCCTACTCTGGCACCTGTCTCTAATTGGTAACCACTAATCTATTCTCCCTCTTTATAATTTTTGGCGTTTCAAGAATGGCATATAAATTGAATCATACAGTATATACCCTTCCTAGGTTGGATTTTCCATTCAGGATAGTTCTCTTAAGACCTATCAAATCATTGTGTCTGTCAATAGTTCATTTATTTTTTATTCCATGGTATAGATGTACCACAGTTTGTTTAACCATTTGCCTGTTGAAGGGCATTTATGTTTTCATTTGAGGGCTATTATTAATAAGGCTGCTATGAACATTTATATGCAAGCTTTTGTGTGAACATAAATTTTCATTTCTCTGAGATTAATGTCATAGAGTGCAAGTTGCTGGGTCCTAGTTAGGGCATATTTAGTTTTTTGTTATAAGGTGGGCACCACCATGCCCAGTACATGCTTAGTTTCTTAAGAAACTGTCATATTCTTTTTTATTTTTAAGAATTATTTTATTTAACTTTATTTATTTATTTTATTTTGACCAGAGAAAGACAGAGAGAAAGAGAAAATGAAAAAGACCAGCCTCAGGTCTGAAACTTGAACCTCAGTTGGCCCTATGGGAGTCCAGTGCACTTAACCACTGTGCCACCTGCCAGCCTCAGAACTGCCATATTATTTTTAGATGGTTGCATATCATTTTTAAACCTCTCTGTGCTTATACTTTCTACGTGTCTATTTTAGACATGTTTGAAGAGATGTGATTTCAATAACTAGACTGTAAGCTCCATGGGGTAGGGACTAAAACTGATACATTTTTAATCTCTCACAATCTATAGGGAAGCATATTATTTATGGAAGGTACTTAACTTACTTATTAAATAAAAAGTATAGAGAGTAATAAAAGCAATCAAACATAGCTTATGTGTAAAATGATAAAGAAGAAATGACTTTGGATACAAGAGAATGAACAGTATTTCCTTCATGAAAATCTCTATTATAACCTCCTTTGTGTAATTCTGAACTGAAGAAACTCCAATTACCTTGTTGGTTGATAGAAAATCTTGTTCTTAATTTTCCCACACAATAGTCAAACACAGACTAATGTGCTTTATACAGTGAACCTATCTTTAGTCCAAAATTTATTTCTGGATGCATAATTTATCTAATGTGTTTCTAACACATCTATATCAGCTTCTATACTACTTGTGGGAAGGATTCCAGTATAGGAATATACTGAATAAATATTTCTTGT